CATTGAATGTTAATAATGAAAATTTTTGGAATGCAACGTCATGTGCCTGAAAGCCGAGAATGTCACAGATATGATCTTTAAATTTATTTTTATTAGAACTCACTGTACCGTGTCATGTTTATTTCCCCTTTCTGGATGTTGTATATGTTGTATAACCATGCAAATTATTTCACCAAAAATAATTTTCTATAGAGGAAATGGATACTCCTAAAGGCAGAGTGCCATATTGCTGTCATTGGTCTGGAATTTAAACCCTGTTTTCTCTCATAAATGGATGTAAAAATCCAAGAAGATATAGTGTCTGTAAGAGTTAAGTATGTGTTCTGAAAATCAAATAGTTGAATTTTCTCTTTTTTTCAATAATATCTCTTTTTAGAGTTTTCCATCATAATGAATGAATGTTCTTTACTAGCACTCAGTTATTTTTTCCTGCATTCTAATTGTATTTGGGTTTTTGGGGTTTGTTTTGTTTTGTTTTGTTGGGTTTTTTTTGTTCAACACATTTTTTCCTTCAGTCAGACAAGTCTGTCTGGTCTGTGTCAAACCTATGTTTTACTTGGTAAGGTCTCCATCAGTTCCTTCCATTAAATAAAAATCTACAGGGGCAGTGTGTTGACAGCCTGTGTAACATCTCAGAGGATTCTGTTCACAAAATAAATTCTCTATGTGTTGAAGAACTCGTAAACTTTCTTTTCCAAAATTGTGTCTGTTACATGATCAAGGTATTCACAATATTAAAATAACTGTGCCATGATTAGGACTTTGATTGCTAATAATGATCATGATTATCACCATAAAGATTCTTTTTATTCATACTTAATCAGCTAACAATCCTGACATTTTGCTTTGTCACATGAAAGGTGGGGTTTTCAAGTGATTGAGATGACTAGATTCATTTATATGCTAGATATTAACAAGGAGTAATAAATATGCAAATAATTTCTTAGGGAAACTGAATTCTCTGTTATTGGAAGTTAAGATTAAGCACCTTTTGAAAGCACTTGAGACACAGCCACTCGTAGTCCCGTACTTGGACTGAGAAAAATGGTGTGAATATTTGTATGATTAACAGACTTGACAAGGATTCAGAGTCAGAGATCTGAAGACCATCTGAAATGGTGTCAGGAAGCAGTTGTGATGGAGTTTAGCTTTAACAGCTGCAGTATCAAACAAACTCAAGATGCTTTTCTACTGTGGCCAGTGCAGAGCCCTTTGTATTCTCTACATTCAATAAGAAAGAAAAGGAGAGAAAAGGAGGCAGCATTCTGAGCACATGCTTTCTTACTTACATTGAAACCTGGATTTTCATATGTTGCATGTCCTTTCTCCCTTAGTCTCTTTGTCATCAAGAAAAGAAAAAAAAACCCAAAAACCTAGAAACCCTTGTTTAGCATCTAATTCCAAACTGGGTATGTAATTTTGGAAAGCCTTTCAGCCAGAGGATCACTGCTCAGCCCAATCCCTTAACCCAGATGTTACCTCACCAAGTGTTTAACAGAGTTCTAAATTTTTGTTCTAAATTCTGCCAAGAGGAGCCTCTTCCCTTACAAAAGGGAAGGCATTTCAGCCTTCAAACCCTAAATGTTTTGCCTTTATTTACTTCTGTAGGGATTTCTCAGTATTTGGGGATTTCTCAGTATTTAACATTCTTATTGTCTAAAATCCCAGATTAATCCTGTTCTTCATTACCTTTTTCTGATTTATAGCATCCTCTTTTCCTAGGCACTTGGTAATTCAGAATAATGGATTTAGATCATGATCCCCTACTTCTTTATTGTCATCAATACTGAAAAGTTAATTTCAAATGAAAGACGTATGCAACCTCACTGTAATATAGAAATACTTGACATTCACTGTTGGAAGTTACACAGCTGTATTTCTCATGGTGGCAGATAAATTAGAAAACTTGCAAGACAAAAATTGACCTCCAAAACCAAAGAAAACACAGACTTTCATGTGTGTATCTAGATATGCTAACTCATGAGTCAGAAGTAAATATTATGTTTGATTATATTAATTGTTCTTTATGTTTGACAAATAAACCGGGGCAGATTCTCATTTTATTGTGCTGAATATTTTTATTGCAGAGACCTATTGTGCCTTCTGGGAAATAAGGTGCTCCTCAGCAAGGTAAAGTGCACAAGGACCTTTACTATCACGTTCTGTGTTACCAGGGGACAGTAACATTCCATCATTCCTTGTGTAACATTTCTACAAGTGCTTGGATTTTGTGGGTTAGTTTCTTGTTGCCCTTTAACTTGTGCAATAAGTTTGGGATTTTTTCCTTCTCTTGGAATTAAATACAACACGACACTAACTGGTGATGCCACAAGGAGCTGTGAATCAATATGTCCCAATATTTCAAGTGTACTATAATTCTCAGGAAAATCTTAGATTGGTTCACACTTTATTCTGCAATGTTCTCAATGTACAGTAACCATTTTTCTGTGCTATTTTACACTGTTTTTTCTACAAATTTTGTGTAACAATGCTATTGCCTTTCAGAAGGCCAAGTGATAAGTGGATAGCAAAAGGATCTGCCTCATATGCGACCTGAAAAAGTAATCAGCAAGTAGTTTAAGTCCAGTGTGATGAGTTGTAAATTGCAATTTGAGTTTTAGGGCATGTCTATACGGGACAATCTAACAGTAGAAAGTCATGGCCTATAAATGGATTTTTTTTTAATTCTATCAACTTTTACATATGAAAAAAAGTTATTTAAACTAATTTTTCACTGTTGTTTTCAGATAGTTTCCATCCTCATTCTGATCTTAAGGTCTATGCATCTAGTTGAAAACACTCTTATAGAACAACTCATTTAATGTAAGGGAGCAATGCTTTGCATGAGGATGCTAAGTTATTTTGACTGTGTGATTTAACATTAGCTTTTACCTTTTTTATCCTGTCACTGAAAATTACTTTCAAAAATGCTTTTCAAGCAAAAATATTAGTGGTCCTTGAACAAGTGCTCCAAAGTTCATTTAGCATCCTTTATCACAAGTTGCAGAAATAATGGGATATTTAGACTTTTAACTAATAGAAAAATGAAATTAGTATTTCAGCTGCTGTCCAAGAGAAGAGCCTGGTATAACTAACCCAAACCTCCAGAATGATTCTGCTCTTCAATGAGGTTTTTCTGTTAGGAAAAACCCTCCTGAATTACATTCTATACTTCAGCAAGGACAATTTTGTAAGCAGAAACAGCAGAAAATGCACAAGAGAAATCACCAGGTATTGGCAGTTTTCTCTGCAGGCTTGGAAAGAGTTACTTAGTGAACACTGCTTCTATCAAGAAGAAGAAGAGATCTCTCTGAAATATGGATAGAATTAGTGGGGGATTTTACCATTGTTACCACTTGGAGCTGCACAGGGAACTGAAGTAACCAGGAAAACTGTGTGAAATATAAAACAGGTCACTGTAGTCAGGGCCTTCTTAGGCTGACCTCCTTAGGTGCTTTTTTGAACACAACTCCAAGAAGTATGATAAATCCATGGTTGTGATGATCTAATCTTACTGCTGCAGAGGTTTAACATTCAAAATAGTGAAGTCTCCATTTAAAGCCAGGTATCACCACCTAGTAAAGGCCATAGTGGAAAAGATGAGTTTCCTTTAAGAAATAGTAGCATATTCCATCCATAGAACTACCAGCTTCACCATCCATTTTAGATGGAAGTACTTCCTGTTGAGTAAAATCATGATCATATTCTTTCTCTAACGATGATGGTGTAAAGGATCCTATCATGCAGATAGGGGAAATCTTAATTTTTTACTAACCCTGGAAGAACAGTAAGTTGAAAGTCAGCCAGAGAAGAAAATAGATTGTTATTTTCTTCTAGTAAACATTCAGAAAAGTGTTGTGTTACTCCAAAGGGGAAAGGTGTCTACAAGAGATCATGTTCTTTCGTATTTCTGCTGTGATCAGTAGGGAAAATAAAATCATGCAAAAAAGGTGTCACTCCCACCCACAGTACTGGGTAGAAAAAAGCTGCTATTAAGAAAAGCGCTTTTTTCCCTCTCTCTTCCAGGAAGTGGCATAATTCAATTATGTTTTATTAACATATAGACATTATATTAGAGAATATTTAGGGACAGAAAATTGATAATAAGCATTGATACATTAAAGTTGAGCAAAATAAAATTAGTCTTTTATACACTCCTTTTAACAAAGCCTAGTGATCACATAGAAAGGAAACTTTACTAATATAATTTTCAAAAAAATACTACTTCAGTGTAGTAGTAGACTGGATGGGAAATCTGAGCCAAATTAAATCTATGGACCATTTCCTAGATATTATGGAGCCACAAGGTTCTGCCTTAATTGCACAGAGTTAGTTAGTATTAGGTTGGCAACTGTGTTCCAAGAAAGCAGTGATATTTTAAACTAAGTAGACTTTCAAGATGACAATAACAGTTAAGCAAGCATTGTAAATTACATAGATGATTGTCAGCAAGGAGAAAGAAATTTCTTTCCAATGTCAAAACCAATATTTCCTAATTTAAATTTTAAAAAAAAGACCCAAAATGATTTTCTGGGAAAGATACAGTCTTAACAAATTTACCAAGAAAGCATTCCAGTCATTGTGCTAGCTTGAGCTAATATGATGACGGTTTATTTTCATAAATACAATATACAGCATCATGAGACTGTGGAGATACATCTTTCAAATCTGAGAAGTGAATGTCACAGCCACACCAAACAATAATTATAAAACACAGATATACTGAAAACAATAAAATTATGCAAAAAATTATAGTCTTTAATGGTCATTTAAATTAACGATATCCAAAAGTTCACAAATTCAAAGTAACACATTGATACTAGTGTTAACTTGTAATAAATATATTATAGTATCGTAATGTATTGAATTCTTGTATATCACTTACCACAGATCATGACATAATTACATGTGGCACTAGTCTATGAAATAAGTAACGGAGTTCAATACATTTTCTATTTAGTAACTACAATCACTAACATCAGGAATAATTATGTCCTGAAATTATTTTAATCCCCTTCTGTGTATGTTAGCACATGTAAGTACACTTCTCTATTTGAGTTAAATTATCTAGTAAAATTACTGGCAATATTCACTTTTTGATTATCATGCTCATCTTTGAAAACCTTATGCAAAATCCTTTGAAACAGCCTCTATAAAATTTGGAGCAGACATGAGTATTGTGAACGTGCAAATGATGGCAAAAAGGGTAAATGCAACCAGACATAATCTGTCTATGACAGCAGCTGCAAACTTCCATTCACTGCAGATCTCTTCACCCTCATCTTGTTTCCTGAACCGCATCGCTATGAACTGGACTTCCTCCAGGATCTTCACCATCACTGGAAGAGTGTCCATTAAAGCTTTCTTTTGCACAAGCTCAATATCTTCTGCTAAGGGGCAGGTCATCTTCCCACCTTTGCTGCCGAGGTCGTTCTGCTGTGGGCAGCAGGGGCTCTCCATGGCGTGGTAGCTGTAGATGGTGTTGCCGTTGCTGGACTGGTGCCCGGGAAGGACGTTCACTTCCATGCTGTTCACGCTCAGCTGCTGCTTGGAATAGCTGTACTTGCAAGAGAGGGGCTTTATGTTTTCCCCAGGTTTTTTCATTCGTAAAAACCAAGCACACCAATTCAGCAGGATGACACGGACCTGAAAGAGAGTTACCGTGGCAGATATACGGGAGACTCTTCATCATTTAAAATGTTTTTGTGACTATTATAGTTAGTCTGCACAGTTTCTTAGAAATACTGATGGATTTCTGTGTTCTCCAGCTATCTGCTTTCAAAATGTTTATTTGAGGGTCTAGTCTTCTACTAAGGATAGCCCTTTTTTGGATCTGTCTTGAACATAGGGATTTTCAATGCCCACTTAGCTTATAAAGCAAAAGAGATGTAAAATCTTACTTTACAAAATGGTCCTCGGAGACCTATCTTTATTAAATACTTTGAGACGTCTGCAATTGAGCAGACAGCCCAAAATTGGCTGCATGGTTTTCAAACATTTCTCAGATTGTAAGGAAAGAGATACAGTTAAATATTTTTGGGTGTCAATGTTTAGATTTTGCTGAAAAAAATCACTATATGACAGATTCTAGAACATTTCCCATCCCCATTGCTATTGTTTCCATCTAAATAAAAGACCTTGGTTGGGTTTTCATGGCTTTTTGAAAGCTATTTTATACTTCTTTGAGGAGTTCAACTACAGCAGGCTTTTTTTTTCAAAAGAGTAAATCAATTACATTTAGCAGTTCAAAATCTAAGTGCCGCTATTAACTGCTGTCATTTTCCTGTGTGCTGGTGCATCACGAGATGCTCTGACGTGCACATGGCAGATTGTGCCTCATATGCTTCTTGTCAAGGTCATTAAGTGAGCTAACTCCGGAGAGTGCTTCCAGAAATTTTTTCCAGTGAACTGACCTTCAGATGTTTGGTCTGAGCCTGAGCCTGCTAGAATTCCTATTGGTAACATATAAGGCAGGAAAAAGGCTGTGGATTCAGTAACGTCTTGTGTGAAGAGCAGCAAACTAAATTAGCAAAATCTTGTTATTATGAGATCCTCCAGGTGTTATGCATACAAAAAGGGCATTTACAATGCACTTGAGAGGGACCCTCCATGCACACAGGACTCTTTGATGACTTTATTATCCTGGTTGCAAGCCAAATAATCCGACATCAAGTAGAAAAGAGATGTGGCCTCTGGTTTTCCCTTTGAGCCTTGACTCCCAAGGACTCCCTGTGTAGTCCTGCTTTTGGTCATGTTTGACTTGGGACCACACTTTGACTGCAAAGATGTTTTAGATGCAGGAAAAGTTGACTCCTGTATTTGCACAGTACAGATACAGGAATACAGGAACGGGGAAATTACAGCCAGCACTTGGATCTACTGCTGTAATGACAAGCATAATTTCAGAAAGGAGGAAGCCTAAGGAATCACAGATAGGAATAGTAATAATAATAGCCAAAACCAATGACCAGTAAAAGGCAGTTACACAATATTTTAGTTCTGCAATATGAGCTCTTCTATGTCACAGTTCTGTACCATTTTCTGTGAGCCACTTTGCTTCTCTAGTCAATGTTTTGTTCTTCATCATTGTCATGGTTTTGGCTGGAATAGAGTTAATTTTTACCTAGTAGCTGGTACAGCATGGTGTTTTAGATTCAGTATGAAAATAATGTTGATAAAATACTGATGTTTTGGTTGTTGGAAAGTAGTGCTCACCCTGAATCAAGGACTTTTCAAATTCCTGTGCTCTACCAGTGAGCATGTACACACAATGCCATGAGGAAGCATAGCCAGCACAGCTGACCTGAACTAGCCAGAGGGATCTTCCAAAAGGATATAAAGTGTGGGGAGTTGGTTGGAGGCTGTCAATTGCTTCTCCAAAACAGGCTGTGCATCAGTCAGCAGGTGGTGAGCAATTGTTTAGTGCATCACTTGTTTCTCTTGCATTTTATTACTCTCTGTCATCATTGCAGTTGTTATTTTTTATTATTGTTACTCATTATTATAATTAATATTATTCATATTATTATATTGTATTCTGTTTCAATTATTGAACTGTTCTTCTCTCAACCCACTAAGTGTTGGAGTTTTATTCTCAGCATCACAAGGGAAGAGAGCTGGGATGTGAGCAAGTGGCTGTCTGGTACTTAAATGCCAGCTAGATTTAAACTATGAAAGTCCTGAAAGACTGTTTTCCATTATTCATATTATTTTGCTTTAAATATTTCATTATTTTCTCCATAGTCACCACAAACAAATAATTACCTATAGTGTTGCAGCCTAAAAAACTGATTCTGCCTTTAATTGAACTTACTTAATTATAATGTGCTCAGACTGCTCATGGACACAAAATGGGACAACATGGAACAAAATAAAGGTCTTAATTTCTAGCAATGTGTCAACAGTGTCAGTTGCAAAGGGGAGAGAGAAGTTAATTCTATAGGAATGTGAAATTCCAAAACACTTAGTCAGACAAACTTTCTTATTAGAAAATGTTAATATGTCTGCCTTAACTCTGAAAGGATACATGAGGTGAAAAAGCACTTTTATATAGGAATGCTGCTTTTCCTTCAAGACGGAGTTTTTATTCCTTAGGGAAATTACTTTTATAACTACAGTCAAACCCATTTCCCATAGAAAAATAAATACCCAGAAGACAGTAACACAGCTTTTAATTAGCTTGGATTTCAAATGCCCTATTTCCTTGAAAACACAGACACTCAGGCATCAATCTGTTCTTGTCATAACAATTAATTCAAGAGACAGCTGCAGCATACAGGTTTTTGAATTACAGCTTAGTATGAAAATATGAATCTACACTTTCACCTGCATTGTCATATATGGAATTCTATGAAGGAAGTACACAGGTACAGCTATCTTTAGAGGTCAACAACCCCTCTGTGAGCCTCTCCTATCTATGATACAACTATACTGCTAGCTTCCATCACAGCCACCAGCCTGGCCTAGCCCAGAGCAGACAGTCTCCAGTTAAAGCTCTCTTGATAAGGGACATCTGCGCCTAGGAGAACTGTGCATGTCCAGGTTTGAACCATATCAACAGAGAAGCCTGAAACATAACAAACCTGCTTTAAGCACAACAAAGAGCCAGAGTTCTCTTGCCTTTTCCCACAAAACCCCTTCTTCCCTCAGTGCTTGGTCTCTCTATACCTCTTTATCATGAAACACTCTTGGCTGTCAGTAGAGAAAGGTCAGTTGAGCTGTAGTCCATACCTGATGTTATCCACTCCCAAACAGCTCCTTAGCTGGGCCTTCTTTAGTGTTTTTTTCCATGCTAGCTCAGCAGACATTATCAAAAGTGTCCATCAGTCAGCAGCTCTCATTTCTCAACTGAGTAGCCAAAAAATGCCCTGACTGAACACCTTGGATTTAAGTTCCTCTCTTGGAAAAAGCTGGTTTGTAAGTTATCAAAGATTAACAGAAAGGAAGACACAATTCTAAGCAAGGGTATAAGGAAAGTGAACACCTACAGAGAGGATAAACACTGACAGGCACTCTCCTCCCTCTTCTATTGCAAAGTGCAAGCACAGACCCTTTGAGAGACAGGCAGGAAAAAAACTGCTCAACTGTAAATGGTTTAGAAAGCAGCTGTGTTTAGGAAATGCATCCATTCAAATCTTCTGGGTCTGCAGAAGCTCCCATACATGCCAAATTGTCCAATGCCTCTCCCTGCAACTGACTCCAGCAGACAAATCCATTTAAGCAGGAGGTGAGAACAATCCTGCAACAATATCCAATTAATCAGGGCTAGAGTTTGCAATAAGCTGACGCCTGGCTCTGACATGAAGAGAACATTGTGGAAAGTAAGTAAATGGTAAGGGCAGCAGCTGGTACTGGAAATGCAGAAAAATGTAATGCAAAAAATTTTCTTCTTTCTTAAGTTACTTCTTCATTTCAGGTTTTTTTTTTTTTTTTTTACTGAGCAAAAGTCATTCAAAGCATCTGTAAGAAACACCTGACATAGGTGGACAGGCAAAATTGAAAAAAAAAAAAAACAACCCCAAAACAACAACACAACAACAAAAAGAATAGAGACTAACACAAATTCTAACAACTGAGCCTTGGCCATGGCTTGTAGAGTATAAGTGCCTAATTTTATGGGGTCAGCCTCTTCCCTACATACTTGGCATTCACTCTTTTCCTCCTGAGACCCCTCAGCCCTGTCAACTTGTCTGGTCTACACCTTTTATAGTCTATCATCTGCACTTCCCAGTTATGCTTTCCAGAGTTTTTGCTTCCTGATGGCATGTTGTGTAATGTATGCCAGTTCAGCTGTCAGGCCACTGAACAAGGTTTCTGCTGAAGGAGAATTTGCCACACACTGTGTTTCCAGACAAGAAACCATGAGACTGGTAGAGAGCAGGAGCTGACTTGCAGGGCCTGTGAGGAGGACTAACATGAGGCATTGCGTCTGGGCTCCTCAAAAAGCAATAAAATGGGTTCTGTTACACTGTGGCAGACTCTGTCCATGAGGATATCTGAAAAATGTTTCCCATATTTGTGCCCTCAGGTTTTGCCTACAAGCAGGTTCATCCAGAATTCACATTCTCTGCTGCCTTGAAAGTAAGAGGATTTTAATCATACAGCACTTTGGGAAATAATTGGGAAATGTCAGGATGATTGTGTAGCATGAAAAATGTGGTGAACAAGATATCAGAGGTCGTTGTGCAACCAGTCTCCTACAAACAGGGTGGTAGATAGTTGACTGTGACTATCTGCTTCTGCTTTTATCCTTTTTCATTCTCTGAACACAAGCATACCTTGCCTATCTTAAAATCTTTTAAATTGATAGAACATAATTTTCTTTTAACTTGAAAATCTAAAGGAAACATTCCATTTGAAAGCCAGCTGGCATTGGTGCCAGACCTCTCTGGGCTGACAAAGTCTGCTGCTGCAGAGAAAAGAGGGTTCACAGGCTAATGCACTGGGAATAGATCAGATGGCAGCAGACAAACTGCCCAGTAGAGACTAGTGTTTGTTTAGCACATTCTGTCAGTACTGCTGTCCGCAGGATAAGAAATTAAAGGTCTGCATTGCAAAGTGGGTGGTGAATGAGGTAACTTTGTAGTGACTCAACCACTCCATCATAATGTTGAAAACAAAGGCCAAATAGGAGGAACTATTTTAATGGAGGAGAAACTGGTTCTAGTGGAAAAGCACATTTAGTATGCTTGCTCTTTCCCTTCAATTGCAAACAAAAGCATCAACTATGCTGTTTGCAACTGACTCTTCAAATTAATGGAAAACTACTTCTGCCTCTCACCTATAACAAGTTAATAAGTTTACTGTAGCTTTTAGACAATTTTCTTTTCTTTCAGTAGTAACCTCCGGAATGTTTCTCACCAAAGCTGCTTACCCATTTGGGCATCTTTCCTGCTTGGGGGTCATGATGGTGAAACTGCAGAACCAGCACTGTTACCACCACAGACAGACCAACGATGACCATGATGCTAGCGAAATACTGAGCTGCAAGCAAAAGGAGGACTTGGTTACAGAGGGGGGGAAATACAAGGAGCACATAATATTCCTTGGCTATGCCTCAAGATCTACACATGAGAAGCACTGCATCACAGCAAACCAGAGAAGAGGGTGCTCACGTGCATGAACACCCTCTTCTCTGGTTTGCTGCACTGGAGCATTTGAGCTGTGTATCTGCTCAGCTCCCTTCTCTCCTGTGAGGGAAGGCCCAGAACACACAGAAGGTGAAAACTGTTTGGGTTTTGTCCCTGAAGAGGAGTGTAGGGCCTCACAGTAAGAACACTTTTGTGCCTGCTGCCAGGACAGTGAGAAGTTGAGCTGACAACACCCACTGACCACCAGCATTCCCAGTCCTAAGCCTTCCATGGTACCAGCAGAGGTGCTGGAGGGAGATGCTGTCCTCTTGGTGCCTCTGCATCCCTCCAAAAAGTGTCACCAGTTCCCCACCTTTGCACCACTACTGCTCCCAGGTGGTTAGGCATATTTCTTATTACTCTTCTTAGCACTCAAGACCACTTCTTCCAGTTCCTATGAAAGTACACTAAAGCCTCCTTGAATGCTAAATTTTAATCTGCTGTGGAGGAAAGAAACCAAGGTCTTGAAAGCCAGAACTGAGGCTTGAAGCCACATCTCCTAAGTGGAAGTACAGCTTCCTCATGCCAGATGTGAGATTGATGCGCTGGAGTGTAAAGCAGAATTGCCCACAGGGGTAATGACATTTGAAGGCTTCAGTGGCAAAATACCAGGGAGCATTACTGTTGGCTCACATAATGGTGCAATGTGGGAGAGCACATCACATTGCCCCAGACTGCAGCCTCTTGCAATCCCCAGCCCTCCCTCCTGCAGCTTGAAGGAAAAGTAAAGAAATCAATCAAAGCTCCAAAGCAAGTTTTGCTCTGCCTCTGTTTCTTAATTCCAAATCCTACTGCTTTGGGTGCAAAAAGCTTGTCTACAATAATGAGGTTCTAAGGCCTTCCTGAAAACAAGGCTGCAATTGCTTCAGGAGGTATGGCTTTGCATGACAAAATGAATTACATATCTAGATTAGAAGAATAGTCCCAAGGGTGACATGAATTTTAAGGTCTCTATTGCACTTATTCATGAGAGGAGAGTCAACAAGCAGGCAGAAGCAGAGCAAACCAGGTTTCATGGAAGTTGTTACATGTCCCATGTTACAGAAACACAGCAGTGTTGATATTGTTGGTTTAATTACTGCCATGAGTGAGTAAATAACTTCCTTAAACTTTACATATTTTGATGCCACCAGATTTCAAAGGCCTGAAATAGTCAATTTAAAATGGCTTTAGCTAGGATTTTTCACATATCCTTGGAAAATTAGTCACCTGGTTAAACTTGGAAACAACCTGATAATATCTGACTCAAGATCCTAGTCAATGATTAGCAAAGGCATTGATGCTCCCAGGTTTTTTTTTTGTGCTGTAAAGCCAGGAACAGATGTCAGGAAACTGCTGTATAGAACAGCTGTTAAATAGAAAACAGTTCTCTCCAGAACAGACTGGGAACCAGAAGGGAGCCAGGGACCCATAAAGAAGGATATTTTATAGTTTTGCCTGGTGGTAGGCAAGGAAGAAGCTGGAGATGTGTCATCTGCATTTTGAGGGGAGGAATGGGGTGTTCCCATTCAAGGTACACTGAAGTCTTCAGTTGGAAAGTAAGGATGGAGGACATAGTGCACTGTACTTGAGCCCTATGTGTTAGTGTGAGGCAGTCAAATGTGTACAAGATGTCTCTGAAATCTGGCAGGTAGATCTATGCCCATCAGATGCTGTATTCAGAGAGAAAGTCACAAAGTCCTGGAAATACCCAGCACTGCTCTAAGGCTGGATTTTGCCAATCCTAAAGAGACAACCGTGAAAGTGGAGGAAAAATATAGCAATGATTAGCACAGCTGCTGGTCTTTCACATCTCTAGCTGGAGATATGATGAAAGCTGTTGCCTCCTTTTTTGTGACAGGAGAAGGTAGAACTAATAGCCATTGATCACAAAGGAATTGCTAGATCACATGCCCATGCATCACCTTGATTGAAAACCTGACTGTCCTTACAATCTAGAACCAGGCAGGGATGGCCAAGACCCTGGGTCTAGACTCAGTGACCACTCGCCTGTAAGGGAAGGGAAGGAAAGCCCTCAGAACTCAGTGGGTCTGCCCACAAGGCAAAAAAAAAAAGGTATGGCTCTGAAATTATATCCTTACTTACTCAGCATTTTCTGATTTTTCTTCCAGGGTTTAATCCTACATCATCTCTTTCCTGGCAGCAGAAAACATAGTCTTACTGCAGCAGGAGAACTGATGAGGAAGACTCCTGTGCTGTCCTCCATGCACCTCCTTAGAAGCATGGCCTAATATTCCAGTCTGCTCATTTCTGTTCCTGACAGTCTTTTGCCTTTGCACCAGCAAGGTAAAACCCATCACTTGGTGACAGCTACAAGGGCTGCTGTCCCTGTTCACCTGTGAGGAGCCAATTCAGTTTTGTTATGCCTCAACAATGGTTGTCAGAGGCATGCAGGGCAGGAGTTGCACATGTGCCACATCCAGGAGGCAGCTAAGAGAAGATGGAGGAAAGCCTTGTCTCTGGGCAGACTTGCCTGGCCACCAGTTCATGTCCCACATGGGACAGGCAGTTCCATGAGCAGGGGAACACTGAAGACACTGTACCCCAGAGACACTCTCCAGTCAGATGGCAAAAGGTCTCTGCCAATGGACTGCTCTGGGACATCAGACTGGGCCAATGGTCTCCTGTCAGCAGGCAGACTTTGGGAGGAGCTGGGGGCATAAAAAGTAACAGCATTATAAGCCTTGGGGGCTCTTTAGGGACTGTTCTGTCCTTTGCCTTTTGTCCTTTTGGGAGCTTCTTGAGTCTTATGCTTTTGCCCTGGCCCCAGCTGCCCTTTGGGCTCTCCTGCCCTCACTGGCTCTTGCTCACCCGGGCGTCTGCCCTGCCTTCCTGTGTCCCTGAGCAGTGCCCTGCCTGCTTCATCTCTGCATCCCTGCCTGAGCCACCTGCATCCAACCCTGCCCACCTCCGAGCCTGCCCACCACCATGATCCTCGCCGCGACCCTGTCCGGGGTCCTGGCCCTCCAGCCCGATCCCTCTGCCCTCGTGTCTGGCCACTGCAAGATCCGTCCACAGGCAGGCAGTGTGCACAGCCTCGGGACAGCAAGGGCACTCCCCAACCTCTGGAGGTAGCGCCCTCTTCTTCCCTCTGTCTCCTCTCTCTCTCCCTCTCTCCCATATTTCTTCCTCTTGCTCCATCTTCTCTAGTTCTCTTTAGTAAAGTCCTTTTTATTTTGTCTTTTCATTACCCATAAATGGTTCTCAGATATAATATTTGCCTCGTTTGGCTTAATTTCGTTCCAGACTATCCATTATTAAAAGAACTCCTTGCAGTTCCCCACAGTGGAACATCACCTCTGGAACTCTCTCTGATTATGACTATGACTCAGCCTTCTCCAGCAACCCTGTGAGCAGAGAAGCCTTTCCGCTTAAAGGACCAAGCTACAATGTTCATGGATAACACTTCCTTTGGAGCCACAGGGCTTCAGTCTTCTCTCATTCTACCCTAGCCCCACACTGCCCTGAATTAGCAAACTCTATTTCTGGGTCTCCACTGATGTGGCTGAGTGCAGAAATAGGATGCTGTCCTGTGAGGTGGGGCATGGTGGGGTACAAGTAATGAGATTTGGTCTCCCAGGCAACAGCCTTGGCCTAGCCACCAGACCTTTCTGGCAGTATTTTAGAAACCATCCTAAATCCTTTTTATTCATTTAGGCCTTTGAAGCTGTTGCCCCCACAAAGTCCTATGCCCATGTGTCTGTTGGCGGAGGCAAAGGCAAATCTGATTTTATAAAGAAGCTCAGCCCCTTTTATTTAAACTGCAAGAGGAAAATGCTTAGCAACTCCCACTAAACATCCCTCTGTGTTCTACTTGTAACTCCTAGTTACTAGATTAACTTGGAATCTTTAACAATTCCCTTCACTGTGGGAAGTGTCAGGGACAGCAACCCCAGATCAGGGTGCATGTGAAAGACCAAGGATCTGGTTGCTGATAATTCACCTGCTCTGAGGCAGAGCTTGGAAGTGACTGCTCTGGGTAGCTGCCACAAGCCAGAAAAATGCACCAGACAACCTGTTAGACAATGTATTCTTCAAAGCCATGCTCTTCGTATGGTCAGGCTCCATCATTCACAGCCTAAATTGTGAACAAGACATCCGAAAAATAGGAGGACTCCAAAAGATACTACCCACAACCACTGCATGCCTCACCATCGGCAACCTCGCCCTAATAGGAACACCATTCCTAGAAGGGTTCTACTCAAAAGACCAAATCATTGAAAGCCTAAACACATCCTACTTAAACACCTGAGCCTTCTAACACTTCTATCCACATTGTTCACCGCAGTGTATACGATCTGCATGACCGTATTAGTACAGACTGGCTTCGTTCAAATTCCACCCTGTGTTTGGAGCCCCTCAACATTCCTCAGGGACACTGAGGTCTGTACCAGTCACTTCTAAATGCTTTTTATAGATTTTTAAACCAGTAGGATGCTTTCTTCAGCAGAGGTGAGTGAACAGAACAGCTGGTTTGGATGCTTGATAGGTCTTCAAGAAGTATGAAATATTTGCTCTTGTACAATTGATATTCTTCCTTTTCTTTGCCAGAGGCATTATGTAACAATTTGGACAGCAGTTTTAACATCTAGGAGTTGTCATCATCTGTCCCAGGACAATCAGAAGATCATCAGGTGCTGTTACAATTACAAATATGGATCTAATAAACCAGATCTAATAGATCAAAATAGATCTAATAGATCTAATAGATCAAATATAGATCTAATAAAACCACAGATAGTCAGAAGATCTTCTAAAAAGTCAGTGAGAACAGCTAATTGTTCTTTGCAGGCATACTCTGATGTCACCTACATCAAAAATATAGCAATGATTTGCAATTCATAATTTGAAGAG